AAGGGTTAAAAAGTTAAAGTGGACCGTGTAGCCTGACACAGCGTTTCTGCATCTGTGTCTGTAAACAGATATGAGTTCTTCTGTATATTTTACTCTTGTAAATGTAATCTCAGCCTTGAGGAGCTAAGCTTTCCACTCAATGGCTGTAATCTTCTTTGGGACTGTAGACTATTACAGCGAGCTTCTGTGGACACCACTGTGGAAGCACAGCTTACTGACTGAATACAGCCATGCCCAGGTTACAATCTAACATACATTAACCACTGTATTGGGCAATACGATCAGCTATATCGTGAGATGGTAAGAGATTTGTCAACCAGTAGAGATTTCCCTTCACTGTTTCTCCAATTTCCTTTAATATCTCTGGTTGAATTTGATCTTACGATATTTTTATGTTTAACTGTGGTGTTAAGTACCTTTCAGCACTTATTACCCAAAAACAGACATTCCTACTTGGTTTTCCTTATCTATTAAAAGTTTTCTCAACTGAATGTCCCAAATATTTACCATTTTAACATATGTGTGTATTGTGACGTTAAATTACATAATAGAGAATTAAATCCATTTCACCCACACCTAGACATACAAAGCAGCTTTGTGTCCCACCTAAGTGGAGGCTTCCAATCTAACCTGAAATAAAAAGCACCTTCAATAACATCAGATGGAATTATTACATTTTTATAAATATAAGAAGCTTTTTAAAAGGTCCAATGTGTAACATCTGGAGGATCTATTGGCAGAGATGGAATATAAGATGCATAAATAGGTTTTCATTAGTGTATAATCACCTTAGAAAATAAAAGTTGTGTTTTTGTTACCTTCGAATGAGTCTTTTCTATCTACAGATGCCACAGGTTGCCTTGTTGAATTGCCATGTTTCACAGCCACAGTAGTTTCTGCTACTTAGGGACTTAGGGAAAACGATCAGTTGCACTACAGCACACAAAAAACATATTTGATGAATGAGGCAAATATTTTGTCTCTCATATAGTAACTACAGATTCTGACAGATCACAGCCCAAAGATGTGTCTTTTGGATGAGTGGCAAAATGTCTTTCTAGTTCATCTTTGACGTAGCTCTTCTAGGCGTAATGTTCATAATTGTTTTTATTGGTCGACCTTGAAGAGCCACTTAGACATTGCAGCTACAGTAACAGATCAGGCTTTAAATATTTACAACAAAACACTGGTGGTGCTATGATCATGCATTTAGTGTGGATGGAAGGCCAAAGCAGATTGACACATTTACATTTAGCCGACTTAGTGTGGATTAGGTGTAACAGAGAGGCATGTTACTCCTTTAAAGAATCAGGAAAGTGTAACTAAATACCCTCTCTGGTTGAAAGTTTCAAGTCTGTCGCACCTATGACCACACCAAACAGTGACATCACAGCACACTGCTCCACTGGAGGTCAGCAGTTTCAGCCTAGTACATGGAGATGGTGACATCATGCTACGACTATGAAGACACAGAACTGTTGGAAAGAAGAAGGGATGCAGCCAGGAGGAGGCTATGATGGCAGGATTTTTGCCTCGCCTGAGTGGTTGTTCTTTTGCGCTTAGATGTGGTCAGACAACACATCGTACGACTTGTTCATTCCAAGCTGAACTCCAGTCTGCATTTGGCTCTCAGACAGGTGATCACTACGAAGGGAGAATACATTAAACATTCTGTGAGACCGACTGTGACTGTGTGTTTCATTTCATTCCTTACAACCATATGCCATAGACAGCTCTGTACATGCTCTGCACACTGACAGGGCGGTCGTGACTTGAGGCTTTGAGCTGCAGCTGAGCCTGCAGTAATGCCCCAGGCTCATTTGGACTGCGCGATCAGCCCGCTCTCTGCTAATTGAGCTGTTGAGATTGGAGTTTGCAGGGGGCTTTGCTCTGACAGACCCTCGGGCTCATAAGCATGTACAAGGCATACAAAAGAACAAGCATGTGCATAAATGCAGACACACACCTGCACGTACACACTGTGATGCATTAGCACCTGTTGGGGAACAAACTGATTGTGCGCTGTTGCAAATGCTGGAAGAGGCAGCAACATGCACAGGAATAAAGCAATAACGCTGGCAGATTTGCTGTGGGACAGTGAGGAGAAGGAGAAATTGAGTAGATTTATACGATCTTCTCAAGCACCTCCGTGACTAACCTGCATAAGATCCCTGCACCCAGTATGGATGCATGCAGCCAGCCGGCCTCCACTGCAGTCTAATCCATCTTAGTCCACAGCAGCTCTTTTACACTGAGCTGAAACCAATTCCTAGTAAAGACGCTGATAGCCAAATGTCATTTATGTGAATATTAACCAGTAACATAGGAGAGCAGGCATTTTAAAGAAAAGATATGAGCTTTGGGTTATACTTTAATGAATTAAAAATGAAAAAAAAAATTTCCAAAGAATTAATAATATCGTTGTTGGTTTAGGTACAAGTCACATATTGTGGGTCAGGCAACTTCTCTTTCAAGAATTGTAAATTAAAAACTATGCAAGAAAGACCTCTTTTTTATATATAGCTACTTCATTGTTTGGGGATACAAGAAGTCAGAGAAGTCTGAGGAAACAAGGGCAGAACAAGTGAAACAAAAGAAAAAGAAAATATTTTTAGGGGCGTGAGTGCGGTACAGTCAGAGGCACAAAGTCAGTGGATTTAGCCGTGACGTCTGAAATCGTAAGACGCTCATACATCACAAGACTGCTGAACTTCTTTCAAGGACAGCAGGGAGACAGGCTGAATAAGATCACAGGCCTGTTTGCAGTCTCAGGATACCTGACCCCTCCAATCCTCAGCACCGAGGGCCCAGCGCTCAGGATGGAGTGGTTTTTCCCCAGAGAGGGAGAGGGTCAAGAGGGGGCCACAACCTACCATCAGCCTGAACGGTGGCAAAGAGCTTTTTATATAACAAGATCACACCGGAGTCGAAACATATATTTCCACTTTAGAAAGATTAGAGGCAGAAAAGTTTTTTTAAAAGTCTGAATAAGAAGAATAACAAAAACAATTTAAACAACATCAGCGAGGAACTTGTTAGTTTCCATGCTAGGACAAATGATTCCTGATTTAATGATGTTTGTTGTGTAGAGCAACGTGGCAGAGTAAAGATGAGGCAGGGTAATTGGAATCTGCTGAAGAATCAATAATCTCTGTTGAAACTAATGGCTCTACTTGTAGAGAAGCATCAATCCATCACTGTCACATTAATTATGATACCTTGGTATAATTAATGTGAAGAAATGAGATCGGGGCTGAGACAACTGGTCTGGCCTCAATCTGGATTGTTAGTAGTTGCTTGTATAAAGCAGCCTTTAAAAAGAGTTTATGAGTTGTAACTAATGCCGTTAATGAATGGTTTATTAATGTTTGTATTAATAAAGAGTAAGGGTTTCTCATTGTCTAATAAGCAGTGAGAAAACCATGTGTGTTAATAAATAGGGTACGTCAAGTCTGCAGTTTATGAATCAATGAATAAGTTGTTAATCAACTGATTTTGGCCTGGATGTGAGAAATCCTGGTGTTATCCTCACCCTCCTCATAGGGACCAATATCAATTTATCAACTACTTATTAACATTTACAACTGCAGATTTAATGGTTAGATGTCATGTAAAAACCCATATATAGTTGCAGGTGACCTACAAACTTTTGCTGGTGACTTATTAAAAAGTAAAAACCCATTATCCTTCAGTCATGGAAACAAAGAAAATAATAATCCAGAATTTTCCATTAACATCTTTACTGACTTGACGGCGAGGAGAGAACCTTGGAATAGGCCGACATGCCCTTTGTGAAAGAAAGCAACATTAATTAGAAACATATTAATAAAAAATCTTCTGTCACTCATTCCACAGCAACCTCTCAAAACCTAAGCTTTGTTTGAGTTGGAAAAACAACTTTTTCTTTTGTGTTGCACTTCAGGAAAGTATGTCTGTGTAATGTAATGCAAGAGGCACAGTAAAGTGCACAGGCCAGGTCTTTTTATTTTCATTTATTACAGACAGCACCTTTAAAGGGTAACTCAATACTACATCACAGGGAAGAAAACTGTTGCTGCTCTTTTTCTTTGTTGAATCTTCCAGTCACCTTTGGCTACAACCCCAGTCAGCGATGTCAGTGCTGGTGTTTAGATTGAAAAACACTCTGATTCAGCGCTAAAGCTTTACTTCACCTAAAGTGTTGTTTTAAAGTACTGGATAACATTTTTATTGACTATCTCAAGGCAAGACATTACATGCAAAAGCATAATTCATGTGCTGATCAATTTTGAGATTTTGGGCTATTTAGGTGTTGGTTTTACTAAACTTTGTCTATTCGTGTCTGTAGATTTCTACTAGATTCACCAAATATTAGCATTAGATAATTCCTCATTTGCATATTGTAAAACAAAAAACAATGTAAGTAACTGGGGAAGTTTCATGGTGAGGTACTCCCTAGTCTTGCCTCAAAGGGAAAAGTATCACACACCACAAGATGCTGTAAAGTATTTTTCCCTCCTCCACACATTTTTTAATAATACATTTAACAGAAAAGCCATCCTCGTTCCTCTCTCAAGGTCATTGCATTTGCAGAAAAGACAGATGAAATTCGGAGCAGGCGCTGGCCACAGTGATAGTGCCATCCCTCTGAATTTGCAAGTATGGATGACGGCCAGTGTTTGCGCGGCAAAAGTAAGACATGTGAGTTTAAGTGATGAATGGGTCTGCAGCTCCTGGAAGAACAAAATAAAGCAGAACCACTTAACTCCTGTCAAAGCTGTACTACAAACCCTACTGGTTGGGCCACTCACTTCTCTATGTGTGATTCATCTGAGTGTGTACCCTGGTAGGTATAAAAAGGGTCCTCCAGAGATGGTACTGGACATTATACAAATTGAATTAAGATGTGTTAATTTTCCTTGTTAGTCAGGAGCAAACTGCGTGCACTGAGTTAACTAACCATAAAAGTCTACATACGTTTTCTATCTCCTCACGATGATGCTGTTTTCCTCTTCCTCCAGGGTGAGGGCTCTAACTTCCTCCAGCTGGGCTCCTCCATCGAGCAGCAGATCAACGGCATGTTCAAGGTGATGGAGGAGTACAACTGGGACAGCTTTGTGGTCATAACCAGCCTCTACCCAGGCTACGAAACCTACGTGGATTACGTTAAGTCCTTCACAGACACCAGTTACTTCATATGGGATCTGCAGGACGTTTTGACCTTTGACATGTCCGCCGATGGCCTAAATGACATCCGAGCACGAAGGCTGCTGCAGCAGATTGACGCTCAGGTGCTATTGGTCTACTGCTCCCACGATGAGGCTCAGTACCTGTTCACCATGGCAGCCGAGGCCGGACTGGTAGGGCCAGGCTACATCTGGATTATCCCCAGCCTTGCGGTGGGGAACCCAGACATCCCCCCGCCTGACAGCTTCCCTGTGGGGCTCATCAGCATCATCACAGACCGGTGGAGGATGAGCCTGAGGAAGAGAGTGCGGGACGGGGTGGCCATCGTGGTGAAGGGCGTGCAGAGCTTTCGGAAACAGAGAGGCTTCGTCCCTGAGAGCCACAGTGACTGTCACAACTCCGTCAAGCCATCCACTACCAATGACACTCTGTTCAGGTAGGTCCAGCTTGAAGGAATCAGACCTTTATCTATAGTAGTCTTTTATATGGCGTTGTTTCTGACATCTCCAAAATATTTTAGGGTTAGGGTTAAGCTTCCTTGTTTTCTGATCTGTTCCTGTTTAAACTGACTAATGATGCTACTTGTTGCTAATTCACATTTCCTCCATCTTTATGTGGTGTCTTAATTCAAATTTCAAATTCAGGAATATGTTCATGTTTCAGTTGCAGTTTAGCTACTGTCAATAAAGTCAACACTTCCTCCATTTCCTCACATTAAAGGTCTTCACATTCAAGGGCACTCCCTTTTGTAGTAGCAATCAAATACACAGCAAAGTATAAGTGACTGAACATATATCCAATGTATAGTAATAGTAAAGTGTAATAAATAGTAAATTTAAATATTTTTGCAATAATAAATATATAAAAAATATTTATATAAAAATAAATACCTCAGTTTTTTTCAAGGATTTACTAAACATTGTTTCTGTGGAATTCTTCAAAGAATTTACATTTTGTAAATGCTTGTCTTTATAAACCATTTTCCATATTTGGTGACAGTACACACAGAGCAAAAAGCATGATGCATGCAAGCATGTTTAAATAGGTATGAGAAATAGAGCTAGTGGCCAGTGATTGTTCCCTAGGCAAGCACTGCACTCAAATGGCCACCAGTGAGTTACAGAGTGGGGGCTCTTCCCATGGAAACAACTTAGCAATGGCTTGCTGTTAATGGTGAAGATGCAATATGAACCCCTGTAGGTTTAACTTCTGTTGTGTTTAAATGTCAGCTCATGTCAAAGTCTGACTCTTTGGTTTCCCAACTCCCTAACCTCCTTTCTGAGAGGTTTTATGGCGACATTGTGGCAACTAATGCCTTACTGCCTTTGCTTCACAAAAATGTAATCACAGATTGTTTTAAGTGTCTGAACAAACAACCAATGCTGTTGCGTTTTCTGCAGAGGACAGTCACTTTTATCATCTCAGTTTAGACCTTTAGCTTTATGATTTGCATAACCTTGTTTGGGACATGCAGAAGAATGTTGTCTGAGGGTCAAGGATCACACTGGCAACAACTATTCTCTTTACATGCATCATAAAGATATAACAGTAATGGCTCAGACCTCCTGGCAAAAGAGGTCAACAGTCATTTATTTATTCATGACTTCCCATCTGTTTGGTGTTATGAAGCACATTTTATGGCGACTGTCACTTTTCCAAACTGTGTCCTCTGCCCTGCTGCCATCTACCTCCTCCACTCCTCAGCACTGAGTGCTCCCCTACATCTCTTGGAAATTGCGAGGTAATTTATCAGATAGGGGGTTTTGGTGACGACAGATAAGTGTGTGGCTTCTCCTCATGTAGACCATGCCAAAATGAGCAATCTGTGTCCCAGAACATGGAACAAATCCTATTTTGTTAGAAAAATGTTTTAATCAGCAAAGGGAAGCGCCAGAAAAAAAACTGCTCCAGCATCAGCTTTTGGCGCATATAAACCAAGGTCATTTAGGGAGAGGGGGTGTGTAAATGTGTGTATGTGTTGTTGTAGATGGTCACCAAGGGGCTGCTAACAGGACACAAGCATCATCACACACTTCTCTTGCATTATGAAACATCACTCTCTCTCTCTGATGTCAGAAGTAATTTTTCTTTCGGAGTCCTCAGAGCCGTAGGGGAGACAACTTTTCCTTTTGTAAACCCAAACCGCCCATGAAAAAGTGGAAGTGGTGAACATTATCTGGGGCTTTGATACTGTACAAACCCCTCGTTTTAGACTTTCCAAACCCAGCAGGCATGACTTGAGTAGCAGCAGCTCTCATCAGTGAACGTGAAGGTCGGTGAGATAGAACAAAGCACTTTCTATTAACTTTATAGTCAGATATCTCTTCTCTTTCCAGCCAGATCAAACATTAACACCCCCCTCAGTTCTCAGATTTGTCCTCACTTGATTGGAGATTTTTTCAAACGAGCTTTTGATAATGAGACAGCTCACCTGTTAATGGGATTATCTCAGATTACCAGATTAAACAGGCTTTTCACACAGACCAGACTGAAAGCTATTCTCCTCCCAGCAGGCTTTCATCACCTCTGCTGGAGTGACGGGTGAGGTGAGAGAGCAGCACCACAGGTCTAATATAACAGGATGGGAGTGATGAAACAGTGGAATCAAAGGAGGTGGTTCAACATGGTTTTCAACACAGTACAGACGCTGTCAGCACACCTTGTGTCTCTATTGTGTCACAAATAAACTGAGGAAAGCAGCTGGGTTTTTATGTTGCATGACAAGGCATTTGTGACATTATCCACTGGATTTAAAATGGTATGCTATTCCCACAACTGAAGGGGAAACATTAGAAAACATCATGCTACATGTATATATACAATATGTATGGAAAAAAATAGATTCAAATAAAATACAAATGATACAAACTAGGGGTGTAAAGATTTACCGGTACAAGTCAGAAAACAGTTTTAACGTACATCGGTATTCGGACCCTTTGATTGATCTAAATGTGCCTTGAAACAGTCGATGGTCCAATTCAAAAGTTATGAATCGGTTGACTGAAGCTTAGCTGCTAACAACGTCTCCACTCTCAAGAATGGTAAAAGGTTAACATGAAGATCTCGCCACAACCCAGCTACAACTTAGCTACAACTTGGCAAGGTCTACAGTAATCACGTCTATGTCTTGGAAAAGCTATAAACACAATGACATGTATTTCTGTCATAAATGTTTTTCCTGATTTTCTATAAAATGTATGTATCTGATGGTAAGCAATGTCACTTTTATAGAATTGGCTTATTATAATTCAGAATGGAAAATAAATGTCTACATTAAACAAATGTTAAGAACTGTATCAGATGCATCGTATCGTGCCAAATTGTTCCATTAACATGCATCGTCCCTGAATCGTATCGTAGCCCATGTATCTAGATACATATCGAATCAGATATTAGATGGGAGAGATGCACACCCCTAATACAAATGTAAAGCATGTTGAACCGGTGTAATGTGTACCAAGTTCACTGTGTTGGTTTTGCGTGTTACCATGTTAACATTTGTAACACTAAACACAAGGTAAAAACCTTGACCTGATGATGGCGCATATTTAAAAGTTAGGAGATCAGTAGAGAAGTTACTGTACTACAGTTCATCCTCTATGAATGTGTTTATCAAATTCCACAGCAAAATATCCAATAGTTGTTGAGAACTAAAAGGACAACCTTGTGAGGGCGCTAAAAGTCAAGGAATCGCCAAAGTCAGTAGGATTCTAGGGACCATGAATGTGTGTAGAAAATTTCATAGCAGTCTAATCTGAAGTATCATCTAATAGCTGATACTTCATTCTGGACAGACATTGTCATTCCTAGATCCATGACGCTAGCATGGCTAACATCATGGTACATTAAACCTATAAAGACTTTGTTATATTTGACTTCATTTCTCAATAATGAATTAATAAGCAACAATTATGACTTCTCATTATTTTTATTGTGCCTTAAAGTTTGAATAATTTTGGCTCAAAAAGGTAGTTCCTCATAATTATGACCTGATTAGTAAAAATGATGACTCATCATTAATTGTGTTTCCTACCAAACTTAAACCTTTTATCTGACCTCACACTTTTAATTGGCAAAGATCAATGTACAAAAAGTTCAGGTAACCTTACCATGACTTTTACTTTCAGCCTGAACATATGAGCGTACGTCTGCTGTTACTGCACACCCTTATTCCATTATCCTCCTTTATTAACTCAGTACAAGCATAAGTTTCTGATCATTGCACCTACTGTTAAATCTACTTCTCTGGAACACAGTATTTTGTTCTCTGTTGTGTACATTTTGCTGTTTTAACTCTGTTTAACCGTATAGATTTTTTGCATTAGCTGTATGTATGTTTACTTGTTGTATCGACACGCCTGCTGTTGCTGCCTCTCGGCCAGGTCGTCTCTGTAAATGAGAATTGGTTCTCAATCAACTTATCTGCTTAAATAAAGGTAAAATAAATAAAGAAATAAACTAATTAACTTTCGATCCAAAAGTAACTTGACAGCAAGCCAATATGAAACCATTGGCTTTTGAGTGTTGCCTGTAACACCACTTCCACTGAGAAGTTCCATCTTCTCAATTACGAGCATACCCTGAGAATGTTTGGGGTTTGCACTGTTGGCTGTAAAATACTAGCAATTTGAAGATGTCATCTGAGGCTTTAGAAAATTGTGATGGATTTTTTCAAATGTTTTTGTACAGAACTTATAAAGTATGTCCAGTGTACAGTATATATAGAGGTTTTATTACAGACAAACTGCAATTTGTATAGATGTTTAAGCCACTGATCATCTTTTGTTTTGGGTTTTGTTTCTCTGCAGGCACATGTTGAATGTAACCTGGGAACACAACGACTTCTCCTTCAACAGTAATGGTTACCTGGTGAATCCCGCCATGATAATTATCACTTTGGACAGAGAGAGACAGTGGGACAAGGTGAGCTTTTCACAAGATGGTGACAGAGGATTTTCATTCCAGAATTAGTTTTTTGTTTTGTGATAATTACTGAATGCCAAAACTCTAATTTAAATTAACCAGAAGAGCTGTTTTACAGTTACACAGCTTCTTTCACTGACGTCTTCCTCTGCATGTTAAAAGCAGAGTGATTTCATACATCACTGGTCTCTTTGTAAAGACCAGTTAGAGGAGTTAGAGCTCCACTCATACCAATGAACCACTTAATGAAGGATCATCTCCTAATCACACACACACACACACACACACACACACACACACACATTATTACACATTGCACACACATACACGTCTCTCACCTACTCCTACGTTTCTTCTAAAGATATTGAAAGAAAACCCAAGCACACACTTTTGTTAGGTAACTTTGCTGCAGGGAGCCGCCTCATTGACTTGGTTGGAGATTGAAACATTAATTTAGCCACAGGGGGTGAATGTGATGTGGACACTAGACTGGAAGGAGTTCACTTCCTCCACTGGTTGAATAGAAGGTGCTGAGTTATCACGCTCCGAGTAAACAGCCACAGGCGATTCAAAGCTAATTATGTTATATTGATGTTTTTCGGGAGCTGCTTCCTATTAATTTCCAATATGTTATCAAGGCTCTGAGCTAATAGAAGCTGTGACGGAAAAAGAACCAAACAAACAATGTGGGTGTGAAAACAGAGAGCAGCCTGGTCCAATGATATAGATATTTAGAACAAAAATAACTTGGCATTTTGGAATATTTATGTGCTTTCTATGATATATATGTGGAATCTATAGTTATCTTGATAACAGTATACAACAGGACGAGAGACTGTGATGGGATTTACATTTACTGTTTCTTTGGACAAGGTATTTAGAATGAACCCAGCGTCACTACAATTATATTTTCCATTAAAATGTAGTTTACATTAATTTACAGTAAGGGAATTTCCACAATATCTGCTATATTAAGTGTGGATCAGTGTGTTATCTGTGTACACCAGACTGTAATGGATCACACACACAGTCCTCCTGTAACTTTCCACAACATTCACTCTCCTCAGTAAACCCAGTTATCATTCCCAGACTGTACTGTTGGCTGCTTTTTGCTCACTCTGCATTATTGCTGCTACCTGTGCTCTCCACTGAAGAACACTGTGATCATTCAATCACTCACAGTTCACCAAAATACGGTCCACTGTCTGGTTTGGATTCAGACGAGCAGGTAAAACATCAGACAACATCAGTGCAATAATATTCCCTGAGCAAACATTTAGATGCCTGACAGCGTGCATTACCTAAGTTAATTAGCAGAGACTGAAGCTGTTACTGAGAAAGCGAGATGGGACAGGTCAAGCAGCTAAAATCCACTTCTGAAGAGGAAATATTTTAGTGCGGTGGAGGATAATGTTTTAAAACAAGAAGCTAAATATTAGATTCTGAAAACCATATGACTTCACTGACAAAAAATGTAATACATCTATCATCACCATATCGTCATATAGTTTCTGTCTTAAAGGTTACTTCGTGTTTGATCATTTTTTGAAACTCAACAGTATACTTTGTGAATCGTGAACTATTACATTAATCATCAATTATTTTGATAATCAATTCATTGATTTAAGTTATTTTTTAAGAAAAAAAAGTCAGAATTATCTGATTTCACCTTGGGCTTTGGGAAAGAGTGATCAACATTTTTCAGTATGTTCTGGACCAAACAACTAATTGATTAATCAAGAAAATGATTGACAGATTCATCGCTAATGAAAAAGATTCTGAATTGCAGCCCTAGTGTTTAGAGCTGCTACTAAAGATTATTTTGATCAATTATCTATTTATCCATTATCTATCAATTGCAAAAATAATATTGTTTGGTCCATAAAAATGTTTTGTGGTCTGACCAACAATTCAATATACCAATATATTCAGTTTGATATCGAAAAAAGGCAAATTTAATCTAATCTAATGTAAATGATTAGGTTACTGTAACTTCTGCCAACAGTTCTGCACTGCACCACTGGGTGATGCAGAGCATAAAACAGCAGTGACTGCACAGTAGCTACAATGGAGACGATCTTAAATCAATCAGTCAACAAACAAATGAATGCAGGAACAGGTTGCAGAGTGCAGGCAACAAAGACTGGACACAGGATGATCACCTTCAGAATAAAACCTTTCTTTCCCATTTCTTTTTACTTTTCTTCTCTTTTGTATTCCTGATGAGCTGTATTTTTATCTCTGCACAGACAGAAGCGGCTGCGTCTTTCACTTTTCTCTGGGCCTCCTGTGTTGGATGTTCACATTGAAGGGCATTGTTCTCTCCTGCAACACTCCCAGTAGATTAGGGAGGTTCTTAACCATCCTAATATCCTCGTCCTCTGAGCCATCAAAGACAAACAGGAGAGTTGGCTCTGGAAACATCCTAGAAGTGTTACACTGTCTCCTCCAATTTTATGAAATGAGCACAAACTCAGAAAGACTGGAATTAATTTGAATTCAGTGACAGTAACATGAATTGGATTCATCACATTTCTATGACAAGGTTTACTTATTTAGACTTAGTTCGGCATTAGGTTTTGGGCACATCTAATCAGAAACACTTTCACATAAAAGATAAATATTACTGACAGAGAGACTTCCTGGCATGAGTTAGGACATCAACCCAGAGTTGAAGGTAAAGGTGTCCTCTCATTCACCCACTGACTGCCACACTCATTTCCACCATGCCTACATTTACATAAAGCTTTTGTGGGAGGAAAAAATATTTTTGTCATTCCTTTAGAGCACAACATTGTGCTCATTTCAGAGAAAATTCATGTGAGGCGATACCTTTTCTGTGTGTAACTTTCTTTTGCCTCTGGCGTCTTTTCTCTGAGAGCTGAAAATCAATTCCACCTTTTGATTGCCTTTTTGCTAGACTTCTTATTGTACATGTTGTAGGGCAGCCTGTCTGTCGTGCTCATACATCCCCTATGTATAAGCCTGACACTGAATAGACTGATACCTAGCATTACACTCCACACCGTCTGTATTTATTAAACCTGAATCTCTTTGCAATGCTCTTATCAAATGGAGCTGCTGTAATTTGCTGTTTCCCAAGAGCCATTGTTCAGCTGGTTCTCCAACTTCCTCCAGGATCTAATGGTCAAGGTAACTTGGGAAGATGGAGGGGGAGCATGACAAAAGAGAGTGGCGACAGTAAGAAAAAGCCCAGGAGGAGGACAGGAAGGGTTTCTGTCATCGCTGTTATCAGGCAGGGTGTTATACGAGACTGAAAAGCAGCCGTCCTCTGGCTCTATATCTGTGACGTGCACAAACCCTGAAATTACAGTCTCGTCGGCTGGTTTGTAAACCAAAAAAAAAGCCTGAAGTATTTCCCCTATGGATTTTTTGCAATATACAAACTATGCTACTAGAGTGACAGTCTCCCAGTCATGATGCCACTTTTTAATGTGCTGTGTAAAGCAACACAAGTGGTTTCTTTTGTGTTTTCCAAGATGAATGAACAAAGAAGATCTTCGCTGTCTGAGAAGCCACAGGGACATGATGTTTTTCATCTCAGTATATTTTCCGGAAATTTGAAATTCTGATTGACTTGACTAAAAGCCCATGAGTGGAGCGATAGGTAAACAGCAGGACTGATCAATATGACTGGCAGGAAAGAGGAATAACTCTAAAGTCCGGAGAGAATTGTGATATTTGCACTTTTTTTCCGCCCACTTTCAGTTTTTTTAATTTCATTGTGACAAGCTGTACTGACTGGTGTGATCAGACAGGATTGTCCCCCTTCCTGCATAAACAGGAGAGATTATGTGGGAGGAAAAACACTTTGTCCAGACTGACACTTTTTTTTTTAGCTCTACAGGAAGTGAATGACATTTACAGCAGCACAGTTGAGTGAGTGAAATAAACATTGTTGACTATGGTTTATATGTTCGTAGTAAAGCGTGTACGTAGGAAGTGTAACTGATTTAGATTGATTTTGAATTAATTCAGAAAATTAGATAAAGACGAGGAAACTGCTCCTCTCATCTCTTATTCCTCCCATGTAACTGTGACACATCCATTCCCACATGTACAGATTAAAGACGAATGCTTCCTGTCAAGACTAAACATTGTTACTGATTTATGATAAAGGAAAATATATATATTCTGCAGATGATACTTTATTTTATCCCCAGTAACAGGAAAGAATCTAACATAGGCCTAGATTTTAAAGTTTAGATTACAAAGTCACATTTGTATGCAATGCAGTTTGGTTGAAGTTTTGGTATAAATTATAAATTGAGTTAATGAATAGAGAAATAAAATCTGATATTATGTAGACACACCTGTATGCTTTTCTTCTGGAGCTATTTTCATGGTTTAGTCTAAGACTATAGTTCCAAAAAGGAGAAATCTTAACCAATATTTTAATAATGTCTCAACATGACAACATCCTCTTGCTCAAAACAGGGTCTATAAAGAAATAGTATTCCCTGTTTGGTGTGGTAGGCCTTGATTCTGACCTGAACCCCACCCAACACCTTTGTGACAGACTGTGAGTCAGAACCTTATCATCCAACATCAATGTTTGACCTAACTTATGTTGCAAACATCTTGTAGAAAGCCTGAAACCAGAAGAGTGGAGGCTGTCCCAGCAGCAGATTAATGCCCACTGTTTTAATATGTTCAACATTCATATATGATGGCCGCATAATTGTCAGTAAGTGTTTCATTTCCTTGAGACTCCTAACATGACTTCTATTAATCTTATGCAGCCTTAAATTATGTGCATTAAAACTGTAATGTTTCTTTTACCTCTGCACGCTGTAAGGTAGTAAATCATTGTAACCGTAAAACGTGCACTTTAAAAAGTTAAGGCCTTACCTTGGACAAAAACAGCCCTACATCCACACTAAAACACTGAACAGCTGTTTAAAATTTTAGGAGTAAGGAATATTTAACTCTGGGAAGTTATCACAGTGTAATTTTACCTTCTGTCATGGCGCCAATTAAACAGTACAGTGTTCATGTTCTAAAGTAATCTATCAGCAATGAGCAGTTGCATGTATTTCACTGGTCAATGATGTACCTTGGCAGAGTAAAAGCAAATGTAAGTAGAAAAACTTGAACTAGGTTGAACTTTTTTGCTGGAAGACTCCTCTGTGATGTGGCCCCCACTGAACTGACACCCCTCATTGAAATGAATGAGGAAGCAGCATTTGTTGACACAGTTCTTTTGTCTGTCTGAAGTCGACCTAAAAGGTCCTCATGTCCTCACTTTGGCAAAGAGAAGCTGAAAACGGACAATTTCTAACTAAAATATAAGCGCAAGAACCAATCATACGCTTTTTAGCACGCAATTTAGTTCACAAAAAAAGCTCTGGAGTTAGTTTAAAAACGAACGCTGGTCTGCTTGAGACTGGAAACTTTAACAAATGTGTGTACAAACAATAATGCACACAGCAGCTCCTCATTTACTTTTGGTTTTGTTTTGTTTTATTGCCACAGTAAAATGAATAATACGTAATACTTTTTTAACTACATAGTTGATGATTTAATTATTTCTTCTTAATTACCACCATGTAATTGGAATCCTGAAATACTTTTTTGCGGATAATAAATCTTAGAAATATTATTTCAGCTTTTTCAAAGCATGTGATAAAAACTTTTAAGTAAATGCGTTAAAGTGATATTTTAATCATACATCAGAATTGGGGAATTACCTCGGTGTAATCCTCCTGCGTAAAAAAGTTAGTTATGATTCTGATTATGGTCTAGTATCCGAGAGGCTCCAGATTCGACCCTCGGAGAGATCTTGTTTCCTGATAAAAATGTTAAACTGTAGCTCCTTCTCATTACTATGTGCTTACAAATGTAAAAATCTGTTTGCAATTCATTTGCTGAATTATGGCAACCAAAGCAGCATTTAATAGCCCCGTCTGATTCAGCATAAAGTTAACAATCAGTGGGATGTGTTTTGGGTAATTGGGGTCCAATTGGTCCTCTGTGACCTTCATTCCTTCATTTCGCAGCCTCATTGAAACAGGGCGCGTCAGAGGGGCAAATTTGGGGAACGTGGTACTAAACAGGTCACGGCTTCTTCAAATAAGTGAGCTTGAAATGTTTAATTTCCGATCTTGATTATGTATTCAGCTTGCTTGAACGCTCATTTCCCCACAACATCCAATTAAAATTAGCTAACTGGTAATATGGCAGAGGGTGGAATTGCTTTCGTTGCGTTAGACGTATAATTGCACTCTCTACGTCCCAAGTCACCCGAAAATCAATTTCCTCTAAACTGTCTATGAACTAAAGCTCTCCTCACTGCACCAGATCCAGATGCACAAATCATAAAGACAACATATACAGTTGGAGAATTGGGGACAACTGTATTAAGACTGGAGGACAGTGTAATATGGCTGCATCCTCACTAGTTTCATCAGAGATATATGAGGATTATTTCTCCACTACTTCTCATCTTTATGTTTTTTTTATTGAGTTAAACAGCATGCTCTGCTGTTTATTTATGAGGCTTTCAATATAATCCCCGTTTCCATTGCTGTAACACAACAGCGTCACACAGTAACCATCTGGAGTTTGGTGCAGAGATTCTTCGCTGGCTCGTGTTGATTCACCCATACTCTCTCCACTCCCTCAGGTGGGGACCTTCGAGATGGGGATCCTGCAAATGAGATACCCCGTGTGGCCGCGGTACGGCTCCTACCTAGAGCCGGTGTCGGATTACAGGCATCTGACTGTGGCCACGCTGGAGGAGAGGCCCTTTGTCATTGTGGAGGCAGTGGACCCCGTGACGGGTACATGTGTCAGCAACACTGTACCCTGCCGACGACAGTCCAACAAGACGGAGGCGTAAGTGATGCTGCTACTCAACAACACTCTATAGTCCCATTCCAATATACAATGAAGTACAGATACACGCTCAAAACTTAAAGAGTTTGTTCACCTCAACCCAAGCAAATCTGCTGAATATACCTGTTGAACCAACCATATATACATGAAAGTACAGCTGTAATATAGACATATTATAGATGGGATATGCATGAATGTTTAAGTGGAAGATTCTGACAATGTGATGCAAATGGGTCATTTCACTATAGAAGACTTGTCACTCTATGGGCCGTGTTGAACTACCACACACACAATTGTAGTGTGATGTAAGAGTGGTGCTTATTTCACCACACAATGATCTTTGGCCTGCTTGTTACTAAGCTTGTACTTAGGCCTTTTTTGAGTCAAGCCATGTGAAGATATTCATGATTATCACGATAATGGAAAATCGGTCAGCACCAGCAAAAATTGTTGTTTTTGACACTGCTAATAAAAAGAGCAGGAAGAGATGGAAGATTTAATAAAACATGTTATTTTTGGACCTTAGATAGATTGATAGTTCGTATTCTCTCTGGAGGGAAAGAAAATCCTGAAATGTTATCAAGCTGGGTTCAGCTATCAAAACCACAACCTACGTTGGATCAGAAAAATGCATGTTGTGTTTGCTCAGTTTGACAGAACTTCAAATTCTACCTAAGATCCAAAGTCATTATATGAAGCACAAGTCATCCAGAATATTATATTTTGAAGTGGAGATAAAAACATTACATCTTAGGCTTCAATATCTCGCTCAATATACAGTATGATGAGATGTTGTTATCCATGGTTGAAGAGGTTAAAGGATACAGAACAGTCTGTCCACTTTTACTCCATCGGTATTAACAGATCATTTACTGTTACCGAACTGTGTGTAGACCATCTTAACTCAGACAAACCATCTCATGCAAACCACTTCATATCACTGTACAGTCCCACATGAGCTCTCACATGTTAACATGTCCATCTTAATTGATTTTGTATCTAACTTGGGAGTGCCATTAGGTATGAGATTAAGAGGCTCTTCCCCTGCCATTAGCCCAGGCATGGCTTCTTATCACTCAATGAGGTGAGATACTCATTAGGCTGCTTGGCCAGATATCCCAGGGATCACCCTGTGACCCAATCAGGGAAATGTATGTGCTGCATGGTGGGGTATCAATTAGATGGGACGATTAGGCCATGCCATCAATCCTCAACACCTAGAGACTGATATAGGTGTTCATTAGTGGGGAAGAGAAGTGCTGGCCATTACCCATTACTGACAATAGCGTTAACGAGAAGAGGGGAAGGAAGATGAAGATCACGTCCCTTCAGTGTTATGGAGCACTGTAGTGCTTTATCGCTCATGCTGACCAAATCATCCCACCAGTATAAGAACTGCATCATTTGCCTTGTTGGACAATGGCACACTTTGATGGAGCTACAAATCCAGGCCAGGAGCAGATAAAGCCAATAAGAGGTTCAATGAAGCAATCAGTACTTTGGTCAGCTGAAAGGGAAACATTGACCAATGAACGCTGAAGGGAGAAGAAGTAGATGTAGATATAGATGATGTGCTTCAACAGTCAAACTGAAGATAGAGATTTATGCATAGTGGGACTAGGGCTGCATCTATAGATTGCTTTCATTAATGGTAAATCTGTGCAGAGTTTCTGCAGGTTTCAACAGGTTCAATTAAACCCTGCAGACACTCAGTCTGTGGACTGTTTTTATAATTAACTGATTCAATTCAAATGTTAGAAAATAGTGACAATGCTCATTATGATCCCCCAGGCCCAAAAGTGATGTCTTCAAGGTACATATTTTGTCCAATCAACAGTGCAAAACACCATGCTATTTATGATTAAATAAAACAGCAAATCCACATACTGGAGAAGCTGGAACCAGTGAACGTTCCAGGATAAGTGGTCTGAATGACTAATACACTATTATAGCAATAGCAATAATAATTATTGTCGATTGATGTCAACAGATGTTAATATAACTAATGCTGATTGAGACATTTAAAATACAAAACTAAAACTTACCTGATACTGGATTTTTGGTTAATATATTTCTTTTATAATTTCTTTTTACTCATTTGTCAAAATGATCACCCATACTGATGTATTTGGCCTCTGTTTAAAACCAAGCTGAGAATTGTGTTCCTCAATCCTTGATGGACGGTCACCTCTCTTAATCTGAATCTCCTGCACGACCTAAAGTTCTCCCACTGCCCTCAACATGCCCGCAACTCAAACCCACATCAGGGCTTTCTAAATGGGGAGTCATCGGTCATGCAGGCTTTCCATTTCAATCCCTCAACCCCCTCATTCCCATACATTCAGCCTGCCCGGCAGACCATCTGTGCAGTTCCCTCATTCGTCCTCAGAGAGGCCTGACAAACAGCCACCAGTGCCTGGCTCAGACTTGGCTAAAGCAGCCCAAAGCAGTTAACACAAGCTCTTCCCTTTGAGTCACACATGTTTCTCCAGTGGGATCAGAAAAATCTGAAGCTTCCTCACTGCTTTTGTACTGCAGGCAGACTCTTCTCCCTGAGAGCACATTGGAGGAGATTAATTCAGAGGCAATGCCCCAGTGAAGGCAGATATTGACCTGGGAAGATAATGTCATCATACATTAGCTGCGTTCAATGGGAGTTAGATCATAAGTTGATTTAATTAAAGCTGAGACTGAGTACAGCGGTAGATGAGCTCCCTGGAGTCTCAGAACAACAGGATCAAATACACAGCACCACAAGGTTGCACTAATCAACTCCACAAATCGGTGGCCTTACGAGCTCATGTTAGAAAACTATAGTCACTTAAATCATGTCATGTGATGTCAGGGGCCAAGGGGTCTGTGGGCATTGTGAGAAGTGACTGTTATTGTAGTGACTGTTAGTAGTTATTTACTTCAACACAATTTAGTGTTGCAGAATAAACAAACTATATAATAACTTACTTCTCCTACCCCTTAAATTAATTTTGTGACTCCTTGAGGTCCTCTGAGTTTGGAACAGTTTGTATTGCATTTCCTCAACTTTGGCAAATCTGCATCATCCCAGCTGGGGGAATGCAGTGAGACTTTTACTTTGCAGCCTCTAATCTGATTTAGGCTAACAATCTTTACATGAAAAACTCACCTGGTGGAGCTTTACAACTTGTTTAGTGAATATTTCAAGGGCTTCTCAGTGGGAGTGTTGCCTTTAAATTGTCTTAAGAAGGGATACAGACATCGTCAGCCACACAGATGGCCACTGACAGTGTAGCACACACGCACCACCACATACTGCTTCCTGTCACCATCCATATGCACAGCAGCTTCAAAACGATTCGAAGAATGTCCACACTTTGAATAAATAACCTCACACACACATGCAACAACTCCCAGAGACCCTTTTAATGCAATTGGCAGCTAACTTAAAGCCCAGCGTTGGACCCTGGCTGGCAGCTGTTGAGATGGGGGATGTTGGGACCACTGTGCTTACCCGAGGTCTGCTGTGGCAGCCTTGTTTTCCTCTAAAGTGTTCATTTGTTTCTGTTTGTTGTGGCTCGGCTCTGCCTGCTTGCCGCCTCGCCTGTCCGTCTCATTGCCTCCTGGTCCTGATGTGTGGGTGCAGAGTCCATTAGACTGAAGGTCTGGGGGAGGTTAGGGGTGACGTGTCATTAGTGCTCTCTGCATTGTGCCCATGGCTCACTAGTTCGCTGCCGCATCACCTCACACTACCCACCTCATGCGGTGTAGAGGTGTGTCGTTTTGGTTTCTCTGAAAGCAAACAGACGTTTAATGGTGGACCATAACCTCTCTGCGGGTAAATAAAAACAGACAAAATGGATCATCAAGTCTGTCCATAATGATCCTGACAAGCTGACATCAAGGAAAGTCAGCCACTTTGAGAGTTTAAGAAATAGATGTCACACTCACAGTTGTGCCTCTCTTTATGGGAAAAGCTCTCCATACAATGGGCTGCAGTGGGTGCAGTGTATTAGTATTGTATTGATAACAACTGATAATTTACTTTATTAGGAACCAACATTATTCTATCTTTTGTGAGTCACTAATTGCTCTCGACATAGAAATATGGACAAAAGCTTCCCCCATGCAGATTGTGACCTTTTCAACCATCATTTAGAGCTTTATATGAAGTTAGTATCTTACGTAATACAAAGACACATATTTAGATCACTGCAGGCCTTCTTTGTTAATACATATAGCAAGCAGCATATACAAAATATCTGAATTTAATGCCACAAACTTCCCTTTAGTTTGCAAAATTAAGGGAATGTTAATGTTTTCCAACCCTGATGATGGTGCGACCCAAAATAAGTTGGGCATGTGTAATGTGACATACTGGGAGACAGCCGATGCAGTAATCACAAGATCACCCCCCCCCAAGAAAAGGCAAACACAGCTGCAATCACGACAAATGAAAAGAGAAACGAGTTGTTGGTGCAGTCTATAGGTCTGTAGCACCTCATGGATCAGATGGCGAGTTATGATTGGTCGGGGTCCAACTTGCAGTCTTTCTCTCAGCCAAGTCACACCAACAACGTATGACTCTATGATTGCTAATTTGTCCTAGCATTAATCATCAATACGACAGCAGACTGAGGAGCATAAGCAGCATTTGGGCTTCATATTGGTCTTTTAGGAATCAAATCCAGTTTTACCCTTTAAATAGACTTATTTTAAACTTATGTAAAGTTCACAGGAATAAGTGCTTCTGTTCATTATAGTGAATAGAAAACAAAGTTGCAAATGTGATGTCAGGCACTACAGTAACTAATCTGTCTGTTATTTCCTGTGAATCTCTGATTAATCTTTTGTGTGTAAACAGAGAAGGAAATAGTGAAAAATGCCCATCACAATTTTCTAGAGCCCAAGGAGACATCTCCTTATTGCTTGTTTTTGAAAATAAAAGCTGAAAATCATCGTATTTCTGAAAGTAAAACCAGTGATTTTTCCCCTCTAAATCAGATGTTTTAAAAGGCACCAGACTTTGTGTTTTCTCCCCTCTTCCTGACTCACATCACTGGCGTCATCCGGTTAGTGTGAAACTGAAGGACATTCTCATCCCCCACGTTCTTGGTAATCCAGCTGATAAGTAAGGGGAATTGATTTCAACCCTTACGTCAGCCTCTTTAACTTGGTATGCTAAGCCTGAAACTGTCCGTTTAGTTTGCGCTGCATGCTCTGTCTGGAGATCAGTGCTGTATGTAAGCAGGCGCGCCGTGCCTTTTTTTGTTGGCATGTGGTAGGTATTACACAGGCGAATGACCTCATTAAAGCGGTTTAGCATACTGTAGTCCACACCATATCCAAGTCTGGGTCAAACTGTTTGGTCTTTGGAAGAGGGGGAGATGAGAGGAAAATGGTGAGGGCAGGGAAGGACAGATTAAGTGCAAGTCTAAAATGAAATAATTAAAATGTGCCGCACTGTGTAGCATTTTAACAACATTTATAGATTTGCAGCAGTAGATAAATTACAATTAAAGATGAGATGATGGCTGAGGCAACAGGCAGCCTGCCAGCCTCTACACTGCGTTTTATATGCTCTGATAGTAGTTTGGGTTTGAAAATGAGGACTGCTGCATGGCACAATACAAGAGTCTGCTGTTACTACAGCAGTTATGGTCTAAAAGCCATAACCCAAAGCCTGAACCCTAACGAACACTTCACGTCAGTAAACTGAGCTAAAGGGGGTCAAGAGTTTATGGGTCATCTATCTTTAATCTTAGAACCTGTAGCAATACTTAGTAACAACTAACTTCATTGTAACTTTACCTTCCAGATTTTTGCCACCAACCCCCCCAAATGTTTTGAGCACAAATTCCAAACATACAAAGTTATATGAATATCTGCTGCTTTTCTCTTTTTGTATCATTATAAACTTGTATAATATCTTTATATTTCTATCTAATATTTTGGACTATTGGGGTAAAACAACACATCTGATGTCACCTTAGGTTCTTGGAAACTGTGATGGGAGTTTTACAGACCAAACAATCAACTGATTTATCATATATACAATATTTGGCAAATCAATCAATAATGAAAATAATGCTTAGTTACAGCTTTAATAAATATTGTGATACGGTATTTTTTTGCAGATACATATAAAAATAAATATAACTATGACGCACTCCTGCATCCCTCCACACACATAAATTCTCTGGCAAATTTGCATTGATTCCGGTAAATATAGTCACACCTTCCAAATCTAGTTTACATTAAAAGAAGGTCAACTGGATAAAAATGGAAAATGGAAATGAGCTGCTCAGTTCTCCAAAACAATGAAAACAATAAATTGTTAAACCATAGGTTTCACTGTAAACTTATAATCAATCCAGGATTGAGCTTTTAATTTGGCAGTCACATATGTAAGCAATATTTCTCTTGGTAAAAGAAATAGCTCTACATTCTGACAGCCATCGCTAATATAGCACGTCCAGTGAGTAACATGGGTCTCCCTGTCCGTCCTTTCTGAGAGTAAATGTTCTGGTATCCCATTCCAACTGTATCCAATCAGGAGGGAGAACTCCACAAGAGATGGTCCTCAAGGGGAGGAAGCAGAATTTAAGTGGACATTAGTCCAAATGCCAATTTTGCTTACAGCACCTTTAAGTGCTCATTTCCTACTCTTCAGGTACCATTTCAAGACTGGTGGCTATGGCCAAGTTGCCATTATCCAGTCCAAGTAATCCAGCAATGAGTTTCACTCCTGTCTGCCATTGTTTGTTTGTGATTAATTTCTGTCGGACATGTTTTGGTCCGCCCAGCTGTCCGTCCATCTGCCCGGGCTGTGACATAATGTACAAGCCGAGTAGCTCCAACTCTCCCTCCTGCAAACCTCCATTTTCCTTACATCAGAGTCCTATCCTCACCTCCATCAGCTCCATCGCTATAGGTTTACTTCTCAGTCCGAGTCCTTCTCAGTCAAAAAGGTCTTGTGCAGGCGGCTGCTTGTGTTTCAGCATCGTTTAACATTTAAAATCTTTTTTGGTTTTTAGTAGTTTAAAAGAGAAACCCATTCATATTTGTCAGTATAGGAAGGTATTGGAAAAAAAATGTATGTAGAGAGAGAAAAACAGTATATAACCATAAACTGAGGTAAAATTGTGGCCAAAACAATTAAAACACTTTACACCATCCTTGGGGTAAGCTAGTTCTTGCTGCGGGGCTGCTGTACTGCATTACATTGGCATTTGATACTACAGTTCTGCTACAAACTTGTTGTTTTCTTTTGTGTCAGATGTTTGGCATGACACAGAAATAAAGACCAAGCCAAAACTAAACTGTAGCGGACTGTTGAAGGTTATTTTTCAGCCGATATCAAGACTACACATCTAAATATTTGTCAATATTTCACATTACGCCCTTTTCTCTAGTTCAAATATGAGTCTTTATACATTGGTATTTCCATATAATCCAAATAATGTATTGGATGTAATTATTGGCGATTTCCCTTCAATTGATAAGGTATAATGAGAGTTTAATAGCATCGTCTGTAACAATGAGAACTGAGCAGTCTAGATTAACAGAAACCTATAATGCAAAGAAACCAGTTCTCAAAGAGACAGAGCAGGAAAGACACTGCACTGACGTCCAAAAAGAATATACTTCACCCAAAATCAGAACCATCACATTCTCTGTTTTTGTCCCTCTCTTTGTCTTTCAGTATTGTAGGTCACACTGAGCCGTACACAAAACTGTGCTGTAAGGGCTTCTGTATAGACATCCTGAAGAAGTTGTCCCGCACCATCAAGTTTTCCTATGACCTCTACCTGGTCACCAACGGCAAGCACGGCAAGCTGGTGCGAGGCATTTGGAACGGGATGATCGGAGAGGTAAGAACCACGAGCAGAGAGCTTTACATGGCAGCTGTCCCACTTCACTCAGGAGGACCACAGTGACACTGTTCATGAATGAGGTCAAATCTCTGTTAGCTGTTCTCTCTGCAGTAAACAGCTAACAGTGAAATATCCACTGCCAAGATTCAAAACATAGACTACATTTATTTTTTGGGGGAAAGAACATAGATGATGACTTGATTAGAAGATACAGAACATGTGTAGATCTGTAAGGAATTTGTGTAATTAATGATACTTATCGTAAGGTGTTAAGTGTTTAGCAAACCAAGTAAATATTCCTTATGGTGCACTAATGCCACTTTAAGAATAGAATATTCTTTTAGAAATGTTTTTTTTCGTTTTGAAGGGTATTTTCTTTAATGTTTCACTGGTTCTTATAGAAATAGGTGATATGGGAACTTCAGAAATTTAGTATAGGACTTTAATAAAGTTAGGGGGCTTGCAAGAGAGGCTAGATTTTAATTGTTTAAAAAGAATGACCAAACTGTGCAGCAGCACAAGATCAGATCAGATATCCTGACATTTTGTCTCTATAATGGGTCAAATTCCAAAAACACTAGATCTTACATTTCACATAACGCAAATTGTTAGCATCTTTTCTTAGACCTTCAAACTCCTCATAGAGTTTAACTTGGCTTTAGTGGGGGTTACTCTGTTATTGAGGTTATAGTAAATAGATCACTGATGAAATACGGTAAATTGTCAAAATTTGACTTGAATGAGGGCAGAAACATCTTTTTTGTAACAAACATCATCATTGTGCCGTGGAACCAAAACATAAAAACATATGTAACCAAAACAAAACAAATATTCAGAACATACACAGAAAGATCATAATACCTCCTTCAGAGAGGATAAAAGACTAGCCTATGTAGATATCCAGTCATTTTTTCCTTCACCATATTTTAGACAATGCTGTATATGTAGAGTATAACCCATTGATAGGCCTGATGTAGTATTAACAAAAGCAATTTGAAATCAAGATTAATGAGTACACGAATAGGTACCAAGGTCACTGTGGCTGGTGTGGGAGGGACTGTTGTACATAAAGGAGGAGTATGTGTCTTTGTGAATAATCCCCACAGTCCGACTCCTCTGGCCAGCTCTCCTTTTGAGAAGTTGGAGGATACAACATTAGTTGGCCTTTTTCCCCCTTTTTTAAAAAAAAGAAAACAGGAAGGCTATTGTGCTCAATGAGGCATCAACCTCCATAGGAGAGGTAATGGCTTGCATGAGGCAGAGTGCCTGGACTGTAAATCTACCAGCTCTCCATCAGTATGATAAACAGTGGTGTGGTGTGGCAGAAAAGGCTTGAGTCACAGGAGCTTTTTTAACTGCACTTGTGGGACTCTGAGAGGTTCTAACATTAGAGAGAATAGCATTACGTCCTATTCAGCCAGAGCCACAGTGACCTTTACTCTGTGGCGATTAGTTCCACTTCCTGCTAGTAACATTTTGTCAGCAGACGTCTTATGTAATAGGCATTATGCTATATGATGCCTTCTAATGGATTAGAGATGGATTAGATGGTGCATCGTGCTTTACAATGCAGTGGTGGGGGAAAAAACCAAGATAATGTTGGGATGGGCTTTTCAGTTGGGTCCGTCTGGCTGCTGGGTGGGCGTTGGAAGAACCATACAGTACAGTATATCACCCTCAGGGACAGAGGCCGAGTGTGTTGACTTCACTGATAGATGAGATTTATCTCAAAGGTCAGCTGTGGACGTCCAGCATTATGTCGGACACTGCTACACGGGGTCCGATTTATGATAGTGCCAGACCAACATCCGCTTTCCATTTGCGCTTTCATCTCACCAAAAAATGTCTCTATTGACTTTCCTCCCGCCACAGGTGTTCTACAAACGGGCAGACATGGCCATCGGCTCGCTGACCATAAACGAAGAGCGCTCTGAGATTATTGACTTCTCAGTGCCGTTTGTGGAGACAGGGATCAGTGTGATGGTGGCCAGAAGTAACGGGACTGTCTCACCATCTGCCTTTTTAGGTGAGACATTCCTCTGTGCTTCTCTGAAGTAATGAAGATATATGTGGCTGGGGATGTGTTTGCTTTTGCTTGACTCCATTACTCTCCTATTACCTCTCTACTGGTTACTCGTTAAAAATGTCTTTATATATATATATATATATATATATATATATATATATATATATATTACTTGTCTGTATGCATGGGTATTGTTTTTTTTATTTCTTATTCAAAATAACAAAAATGTAAAAGCTTGTCAGAGCTTTTTGTCATTTTGTAACTTTGAAGAGTGAAGAATATCCTGTGTGCTTTTTATGATGTAAATCAAATATAATTTTTCATGCCCATTTATCTATTTTTTATAAAATAATGTGATGATTTCTGGCCGATGTCAACGGTCTTGGCCTTGTGGCCATGTACAGTTCTTTCATTGATCAACAGGCATTGTCGCAGGCAAATAAAACAATAACAAATCAAAATCTCATAAAAAGGCAGATATGATGAATATTGCACCTTCAGGATATTTATAATTACAGTAAGCGCTATAAATACAGGCTTAGCTGCTTTTATTGCTCAAACTTTATTTGAATAGCACATTTCATACAGTTCAGTGCAGTTCAATGTGCCTCACAGAGGATAGTATGAGATAATGTAGCAAAAATGAAATAAGCTAGACTATAAAAATAATGCTGATATGACAAACTCATTTGTCTTTGTTTTCTTCATCACTGCCAACAGATGAAGTTTGAATCTTGAGTGTCTCCTCAAGCTCTTCCTTTTCTTCAATGTATGTCACCTGCCTGACTGTCCCCTGTGTCCTCTGTCCCTGTAGAACCATACAGTCCGGCAGTCTGGGTCATGATGTTCGTCATGTGTCTGACTGTTGTGGCCATCACAGTCTTTGTCTTTGAATACTGCAGTCCAGTTGGGTACAACCGCAGCCTGGTGACTGCTAAAGGTGAGTCTTGCGTCCCTCCCCCATCCATCTGCTGATCCTCCCTTCACAACCACAACAACAGGGTAGAAGATGAGAGTATAGCTGCTTGACAGGCAATAATTGCTTTTTTGTTGTTGTTTTTGCTGTTGGTGTCCATAAATTAAATGTCCCCGTTCATATTTAACTCTCATTACTGCAGGGTACACAGAATTATTTGTCAACAAGGTTTTCATATTCATCATTTTAAATCAACAGTTGAGGTACATTGTCAGACATTAAAATGAAAAGAATAACTTTTATTTTTGTCATAATGCAGAAAAATGCAGCAACTTTTTTTTTGTTGTGCTTTAATGAATTAATTTTAATATTGGCATCCCTGAACTTTCACATAGAGTGGCGACAAACACAGAAGTCTTAAGGGTCTGCAGGGGCTTCAGAGAACATGTGAGACATCAAAGCCTATTAACAGTGGCCACATATTGGATCAATGCCTGGAAAATTGAGATACTGCAGTTTCATCTCTGAGCCATGTGGTCTATAAAATATCTTATAATGGATGAAGAAAAAGCCAAAGGGGGCTACACACATGGCTCGGCTTCTGACCTTTCTTCTATGTATGTTATGCTGTATCCTTCATATGATGCCAAAATGAATAGCAAGGTCAAATATGATTCTGCTCTCATTGCATAACAAGGACACAAAATTGGTTGTATATATTTGACTTTAGACATGTAACTGAGTTTTACCTGAACTGAGTTATCCTTTAGACTATCAAACAAGACAGCTGCTTCACTGCTGTTGTGTGTTATTGTCTTCCATAAGTCAGTTTGCTGACATTTGATTTCCAGTTAAAGATGTAAGATCTGTTCATCGTAATGGCAACACTGACATATTCAGATGTGCATTGAAACATTACACTGATAACCCAGGTCACCTGCATCTGGATCTGTTGTGTATCACATACTCAGTAATGCTGACACTGGCACTCAATCCAGCTTTTGACAAGATGTCAGCAGCTTGACTTACAACAAGTATGACAATATACAACACTGATACTATTACTAGGTAGTTGGTTTAGACTGTGGAGGAAGGGGCCGCAGGGGATGCTGAAAAAAACTCACATTTGACAGTTGGAGAAGCGAAACCCAGCGTCACGCTGCGGTGGCCAATCTGGTGATCAGACCGATCAAACTGCTCCACAGTCAGCCTGAAATATCGCAGAAACAGGTTTATGGACAAAACTAAGATATTCTCCCAGTTGTGTCCTTGCTTGGTTTGTTCTGTGTACCCAGCTTCAATGTCTGTCTCTGGCTTGCAGTTTATTCTGCAAAATAGCGATACCAAGAATCTTCCTTTGTTTGTGTTCATCTGTTTAAGAGAGAGACAGCAGTGGTCGAGCAACACAAAGAGTAACTGGGGAGAAGGAGCTCTGGTAGCGATAAAGCCAGTGAATTCAAGAAATAAATGTTATTTTCTGATTGTCCAATAGTATAAATAAAGAGGCCCTGACCCCAACACAACGCTGCAGCTGCTAATCACCGCAACGCCTGATTTGGTCTGTAAACAGCCAAAGACAATCGACATTTGTCTCCTGAAAAGGGAACTAATATGAGGTTACACTGCCAAAAACCCAGGATGGTTAAGTTTACAAAGTGTGTGAATCTTTAACAAGCCTGTATACTGTATTTCTTCAACAGTGAAGGATCATTTAGTTTTTTTATCTGGGAGGTGGGGATTCCCTCAGTCTTAACAAGGTTGTTTCAAAGAACACTCCGATTATTTTCGGAAAAGTCGTATAAGACATTCTGGAGGGCAATGAAAAACTACTTGTTTTGTAGGTGAGGTAGCCTAGCCACTGTGCAGTGATGAGTATTTCCTCCAGCGTTGTCCATCATGTGCTGTGACTCATACCGAATCCTGTGCCACTCTTCGCTTCATCCTCCCTAGATCCTGGAGGGCCCACATTCACTATTGGAAAGTCAGTGTGGCTGCTGTGGGGAATCGTCTTCAACAACTCAGTCCCCATTGAGAATCCAAAGGGCACAACCAGTAAGATCATGGTCCTGGTCTGGGCTTTCTTCGCTGTCATCTTCCTGGCTTCCTACACAGCCAACCTGGCAGCCTTCATGATCCAGGAGCAATACATCGACACAGTGTCTGGACTGAGTGACAAAAAGGTACAGAGCTCCGTCATTGCCATTGACAGTCCCCACTGTGTGTGTGTGTGTGTGTGTGTGTTGTCGGGCGTGTTGTTGTGTTTGATGTACCGCTTAGGAAAAACACAAAGTGCTCTATTTTGGGTGTGTAAACAGTGTGTGGTAGAGTTATGAAGGCAAATATCCAGAAGTGGCAATGTCATGGCTGTGACTTTTCACTTTGCCCACAAAATATAAAAAGGGTTCATAGAGTAAGTGGTGAAATTGAATTACATCCCCAGACTCTTTAGATGGAGATGTCTGTGAAAAGCCTATGAAATGTAATACACAAGCGGGTTTTCTGGGCAGACAGTGATTATAATTTCTGGTATTATCTTATGCATATTTGTCTGGCCTGAGGATCTCTTTTATAGGAGTATTGACAAGGAAATCCATGTTAAACCGTCAGCACAAGAAATGGTTTGTAGACTTTTTGCTCGCAGGCAACTGAAGGGATTAAAGAGGCATTTGAGGAAAAGACCAAGCTGTCCACTGCTCATTACAATTCTGGTAAAGTCATTTACAATTCTCGTCTCATTATACATTAACTCTGCTATGCAGAGACAGAAACAGAGCCATTTTGACAGCAAGTCCATAGATTATTGAACAGCATTCTGCACGACAGCATGTAGAGAATGAACGGTTGAACTGCTGTTTGTCCAGCTGTGCTGAACCCCTCAGGTTAAGTAAATGTAAATGAGGTACAAGATGAAGCCACAGAAAGTGACCTTGTATCAGAGGAGAGAATGATGAAGACGAGCGGAGCTGCTCTGTGCGCTGTGTTAAGGCAGATGATTACCTCTTCCCTACAGAATAGACACTTCACTTATAAGAAAAGTCCTTGTGATAGGGTAACACATCATGTTAAATCTGACAACGCCCAACCTCCTTCCATCCACCATTTGTGTCCAACACACTACATCTCTGTCCCATGTAGTATCAGGAAAATGTGTATGCAGAAAATGTTCCAGCTGTAAAGATATAGCGAGGTAGCTTAATCTAAGTAAGCTTCATGGAGAGATAAGGCCTGTCCTCACCAGTAACACAACAGCATTAGCTGTTTGCTCAAACACTTGAATCAACAAATGTTGACGTGTTCCTGACAAGAGACGTCTTCTGGTCTTGCAAACAGTCAGTGTTCGCTCTCAGACACCAGTGTCAAAGTAGCAGGATGTTGTTGTAGCACGGCAAAATCATTTAGAGGGAGGTCATAGGGGAGGTTTGGGTGAACATTTTGACTGACAACACAGACTACAGTTTGCACTCTGTTGCCTACCAACAATCAGTGTTGGTTTCTTTTAACTATGAACACAATCTATGTCCAACCAAGTAGTTTTAGTTTAGCACTTTTTGACCATGTGCAATGTTATGGCAGTAATGACACTGCATGGGGTAAAAATTCAATGATGATGATGTTTGTTAAAGTTAAGTAACTTCTTACACTTTATTGTTTTAACGTTTTAGTGTCTTCTCTGTTCTTATTACTCTGTAGTGTTGCTCCTTTGTATTTCTTGGTTGCAAACGGTATTTCAGTTTCTCAATGTTATAACACTACAGTTTCTACTTCTGTCAATTATGTACACTAACCTACTATTTAAAGTCATGGAAGAGTGATTCCACCTCTGAATCATATCTTAATTGAGGGTCTGAGGACGGACGGGGGTACGAATGTAATAGCCCCCAGGGACAAACTTGTGGTTTGACCTTGAGAGATTGCTCAAGGTTTGATATCAGAATGCAGAAGAGGTCTGATTCATTTTCAAGATGTCCCGACATAACATTGCCCCCTTTCTAATACACAAACTTTAGCTCAAATTGTCCCTCAGCTAATGTACTCAGAACATATTTGCATAAGGTTAATGAAAAAGTGCAATTCTGTCGATTGTATTTCCACCCCGTCCCACTTCCTGTCCTCACAGCTAATTAAATGCATATAGTACTGCCAAAAGCAAAAGGATAAAATGAGAAGTTCATTTCTTACTGCAGACAACGAAAGAAGGAAGGATCTTTGGACACAGCGTCTGATTGTCGGGTCTTTGAATTGTAGAGTTAGAAGTGTAAATGAACCGAGCAAGAGGCCAGAAGGATAACTAGTACAAAAGCACTTGGGAGTTGAGGCAGAGAACACGAAAATGCAGAGGTGGTGAATGTCATTGTATTAGTATCTCATTTTTATCTGGCCCTTTGCTTCATGGTGATGGTGACAAACTGAATTTGAATACATGCTCATATGCCAAAGTCTCTCTATATTTTTGTCGAAAGAAATTATACATTTTTCTATTCAGCTACATGTGCAATCAATCAATATCACAGATCATTTTTATCGTTATCAATCCTACCTATCTTGACAGTTTCAAAAGCCACAAGAGCAGTACCCTCCATTCCGCTTTGGTACAGTCCCAAATGGCAGCACAGAGCGCAACATAAGGAGTAACTACCCAGAGATGCACTCCCACATGGTCAAATACAACCAGAAGGGAGTAGAGGATGCCCTCAACAGCCTCAAAACAGGGTAAGTGTCTGCCAAGGATAGTAAAAATATATGCACCGCAGAACTGCGAGCCAAAGTAGAGCAAAACATCTTTATAATGGCCATTTGAGTAAAAATAATTTTCTTTACCCTGCTAGGAAACTTGATGCCTTTATCTATGATGCTGCTGTGCTGAATTACATGGCTGGCAAAGATGAGGGCTGCAAGCTGGTGACCATTGGCAGTGGGAAAGTGTTTGCTACCACTGGTTATGGCATTGCCCTGCAGAAGGATTCACGGTGGAAACGACCTATTGACCTGGCCCTGCTCCAGTTCCTGGCTGATGGTAAATTCTTTATACATATGCAATAGATGCAGATTTTCACAGGATATTTCCAGTAATGCTATAATAACTGTATTTACACATTTAACATAAACCTGAATGGAAATAAATGGACAAGAAGAGAGAATGAAAAAACAACTGTCCGTACTGTACTGTACAGATACAATAAAAGCTGCCATACACACAAAAAACAAGAAAGTGGCATTTACAAACTAAGTATGAATTTAGGGTACAAAACATTATTATAATAAATTGTATCCGAATAAAAGATGCAACATAAATACATGTCACAAAAACGGAGGTGATTTTAAATGTGACACTGCTAACCATAGCTCCTCGGGCAAGTTATTTCAAAGCCTCGGGCAAAAGCTTGGTCACCTTTGGCAGAAATATGCAATAGATAGTAAGAGGAATAACACAACACTTTGAATAATATGTCATACTGAGAGGCAATAAACAAGGTGCTGTGATATTATTACGTATAGCAGCTAAAGTGTGTGATTTAGACTGAACCCCATTTTAGTTTGTGTGTGTGTGTGTGTGTGTGTGTGTGTGTGTGTGTGTGTGTGTGTATTCCAGCCATGTTCTAATTCTGTCACCAAAAATAAAATGGGGAAAATATTTCCTATTCACAGTGGGCTAATATTACCTGTTGATATCCAGTGATTTAGTAATGTATGTAATATACATGTGGGTGTGTGTATATATGTACATATTTACATATTTATTAGTTTTATAAACAGAAAGGGTAAAAGAACAAAACATTTCTCCTTCATAAAGTTGTTTTTTCAGACTTGCCTTTAATTTGTGCTTTTATGCAGTAGCTTAATTTTTAAAGGATCACAAGCTAAAAAGATGGAAATCCTTATCATACTTTTAACATGCAAATCTGTAGCAGCAATTATATGCATTTCTTCTTCTAGAAGAACAACTGCTGTCTACTTATGAGATTAAAAAATATTAAAAAAGTGATCAGGATGGATTTTGGATTTACTTAATCACAAACAGAAGAACTGTATATCCTTATTTATATCTGCGGTGCTGGTTATTTGAGAGAATTTCATTATCCAATGCAAATGCATTCAATAAGGAGTTGGAGGGTGTTTCATTACTCACTGAAAGTCCCCAAATAATACTAGTGTTATGCTAATAGGGCTTAACTCTGTATTCTGTGCTGCAGGTGACACACAGAAGCTGCAGACCGTCTGGCTCACAGGCATCTGCCGTAATGAGAAGAAAGAGGTGATGAGCAGTAAGCTGGACATTGACAACATGGCGGGAGTCTTCTACATGCTGCTTGTGGCCATGGGCCTGAGCCTGCTGGTTTTCGCTTGGGAACATCTGCTCTACTGGAAACTACGACATTCAGTCCGCAAATCAGAGCGCCTGGACTTCCTCCTAGCTATCAGTAGGGTAAGTCATCTTCACATAATGAAAACTGCAGACAGTGGTTCCTGTTACTACAATATATATTATCATGCTGCTGTCTCCTTCTCATGTATCCTTCAAAACAGCTTTAGATATATTTGCAATGCAGGAAGTGAAATCAGTCCACAACCAGAATAGTTCAAGAGCAACAACAATAAAAAAAGAAGAATTTAAAGCAATAAAAGAACTCCATGGATACTTGCTGAAATATTGTGATGGCTGTGATCCCTGAGAAATTGAATTTAAATTGTCCCATTAAAAAACCTGCATCTGTGTGTCAACAGTAGTCAGAGGTGAGATTAAGTATTCCAAACAGATACACAATTTGAAAGTAAAATAAAGCAGGTGGGACAAAAATGGAGAAAGTAATATGGTAAGTGCATGATCAGCAACTCACTCATTTATATGCCGAGCTGTGTTAAAGATCAAGCTCTGTGCAAACACCATTTCAAACACAGCAACACGAACATGAAACCGCTAGAAACAACAAGTCTCTTTCTGCAATGACAGTTTTCTGTATTATTGTTTTCACCTCATTTGCTCAGTGAGAAAATTAATTACAGTGACTGTAGAGAAATACGATTGAAAACCTTTGGGAGTTCAGTAGACTGTTGGTTCATTCGGATATCTGATGATGCTTAAAGAGTGTAATTTCACTCTTCTATCTCTCTGCAGGGCATCTACAGCTGCTTCAATGGAGTAGAGCAATCTGACCACAATGGGAGCATGCAGAGTCCGGACGTCACTACCAACTATTCACAAGCCAATATGCTTAAGATGCTGCAGACAGCCAAGGACATGGTGTCCTCTGCCAGAGTGGAGAACTCTCTAGACAATGCCACCAAAACGATAGAGAACTGGAGCAGGCGGGGGGGCGACAATGTGCGGGTTGGCCTGCCACCCAGAGTGACGACCACAGACATGAGCCATGGCCGTCTGCCCTATATCTCCAGCATCACAGACAACCACTCACCGTACCCTCAGAGGGCCCTCACACCCACCTTCCCTGTTCATTATGGGGACAGCTCCACCCAGCCTCTCCTGGATAAGCCCCGGGTGTTGACCCGACCGACCCCACTCCGCTACACGCTGCCCACCCGCAACAGTCAGCATGTCTTAGAGAGGACTCTGCCGATCTCCAGCCTCAGCAGCCCTCATATTGCCATGCGGGACCCAGCTCCCTCCGGTACATCTAACCCCCACCACAGCAGCAGGCTGTATGTGGAGAACCAGGCCCGGCACCCCACGTCCCCTTTTGTTCCATACAGGGAGTTCCAGGTGCCCGATATCTACGTAGAGCACAAAGGACCGCTGAGGAGGAAATTTAGCTACCCCCCTGACTGCGTGACCCGGAGGAGGAGGTCCCATAGCTATGTGTTTGATGCTGCAGACCCCAGAATGAGAAGTGACTATGATGAACCTCGATCCTGCCTTGCTGAGTTGAGGGCCAATCACCTCCTGAACAACCACGCCCCTGTTGCTGCTGCCATGGCTTGCTCTGCAGGACATTATCCAGGTGGCAGCACCAGTTGCAACTCCTGTATGAAGTCCTATCTGGAGCCTGAAATGGATGACATACCACTCATTGGGAAGGACAAACTCAACCGCCGCGCCTCATTTCTCAAAGCAACATGGGGCAACGATAGGGTCCATCAGGTAGACGAAACAAAGCCCTCTACATCCACATCTCAATCCACACGCGCAGACATGCCTGACCTTTTTCCACGGGTGGTAGTGGCCAACCCAAAGCCCCACAAGCTATACGGTAGTCTAGGGCACAACCTGTCCTGCTACCCCTTGGCTGCTGAGCCTGCCTACTTGGACCCAGCCCACATGGGCTCCTACCCCTACAAGCAAAAGCTCAAGTACTCTGAGTCTACCCGGCTACCCTCTTACAGGGAAGCCATCCTGCAGAATGCCGCTGCCCTGCGCCGCTCTTCCTCTACAGTGGTGCACAGACACTACTCTACCTACCTGAACTCGTACACAGACTTACCAGTGTATGTGGGGCCACTGGCCCAGGGGCCGTCACAGTTCTATGACAGTTCCAAGGACGTGTGCCACTTGTTTCCCTGTACAAGCCACTGCCCAGATAATGCAGCAATGCTGCCTCGTATGAGTGACAGGCAAGTGGTTTACCACAACAATATGTTTGGGCCCTACAATGGCACAGGAAAGAGGGAAGACCCAGGCTCTGGGAACAGAGAGCGGAGGCAGGTGTTGGTGGCGCGCAGAGTCAATAGTCCCTATGTGCCAAAGCCCTGGGGCAGAGTATCCAGCCTGGAGTCTGAGGTCTGAGACCCCATCTTTACTGGACCTCCACTAGGTGAGCCCCTCTGAAGAGAGGCATGCCTGGGGTTCGCCCCTCAGCCTCTGGTTAAAGCAAAAATTTAACTCTACACCAATAGTGTATTTGAGAGTGTTGACTCTCAATTATCAGTGCAATAATATCTTGGGCAGCGACGCGTAAAGGAGAAGACACTGACGAGCAAATTACTGCTGGGACTTTGTAAGCCAAACTTAAAATACTTATAAAAGAAAATGCAATGTTGAAAAGTATTTAATACATTAGAATTTAACCTGTTGATTGTTATTTAAAGGATTTTTAAATGTTGCTATGTGGAAGAATTCTGGGAGACAATATACTGTAGCCTCTCAATCTGATTACGACTTGAGACATTTCTTTTTCTCATTTTTTTCAAAATCATTTAAGTACCCACCATGTCAATTGAGAGATAAATTATTAAGACAATTTTGTGATCAAAGCACTGACATATCTTCCCGGAATTTTCTAAGTCAACGACCTTGGGTGCGCAGTTGCTTTGAGGCTTTCCGCTCCATTGGTCATTAATGTTATTTGACTGGGATTTTAAAAAGGGAAAACCATAAAAAGTATCATGTGTATTTCCATTGTTACACTTCCCTTTAATAAAGAACAAGGTCATCTCAAGGGCCTTTTGGAATCATCTGTCATCTCAATCTGTATGTTAAACATTGTGTCGCACCGTACAGTGATATAATGAATTTGATTCTCCACTTTTCACTTTACACTCTATTGTACACACAATCTCTCATACAGAATAGATGATTATGTGAATATAGTATATGTCCAAAGATATGAAATTGAGTGTCAAGGTTCTGACCTTGGGCAATAAGTGCTCAAATTAAGTATCTCCAATCATTAAAAGGAACTGTCTATAGTGACTAGAGATAGATCAAACAGAATCCACCAATCCACTTGACTTGCAGCACGAGACTAGAATATGTCAGCTGTGCCGCAGATAAATATTAAATTATGCATATTAAAATCACAAAAACACATCAGACAACAGATCTTATGAGATATTATATAGTGTTCATAAGCAGCAGATGACCATCAGAAGATGGCTATGGAGTGGAGCAGCAGCGTAAACCATAAAACAGAAGCTCATTTGAGTGCGAACATTTCTGTAATGCTTAGGGTTAGGGTGAGGAAATGTGAATGTGACTGCCTGAGCCGTGTGAGCGGGCTCCAAAATCAACACCCGCCAAGTGCCAAATGCCAGGAAATAAATTATGGTCACCAGCCAGATGGCAGGTAAATAATTAGGCATCACAGCATGGGGCCAGGTTTACATTGTTGTGTTTTATGTGTACCGGCTGAGACTAATGTGACCCTCACTGTCCACCGTGCCTATCATGTTGTCAGCGAATCAAATCAAAGCAGCTTGCTACTATTTGGCGCTTTCTACACAATGTCTGTCAATGTTCTTGCAGTAAGAAACATCTGTTACATGTTATTTGTGATGTGGCGACACATTCCCGCTGTCACAAAGAAAAACATGAAGACGAAGAGAAAAGTCACAGAGGTCAGCGTTTTTGTCTGTAAAGACAAGAGTCATGTTTCCATCCCTAATGCGAGTATAAAAAATAACATGGCCAAAAGAAACAAGATAGAAGAAACAACAAAACCAATTCAGCACCTAACACACCTAATACTTCAATATTCTTATTCCATCGTTGCACAGATTAAATCAACACGGTACACGTCACAAGCAAAAATAAATGACTGTAAGTCAACTACCTTCAAGAAAATGAATTCACAATTAATACCAAATACCACAAATAATGATTGTACATAATAGCAGCACAAGAGCTCAAACTGACAGCACACACCAAATAATCCACCAGAAGTAGACCTGCAGAGAGCAACATCAACCAGCTGCAATGTGTATGAGCGTACAAACAGTAAGTAAACAGAGTCGAGACCTAAACTCACAACATGCATGTTAGCACGAGCAATAAAACCTTGTTGAAGTGACTCAGTGACTGATCAGTGTCAGCTGAGAGTCAACCAGTTCCAAGCTACACAGACCAGAACATTTATAACAGACAAATACAAATATAACAAAGTATTTATGTGGCTCTATGTAAGACAACACTGGTGTTTACATCTCTGGAGCCAACACAGTATTACCAATAGCCTCAGGCCTGGTAACAAAACAACAACAAACTGAAGGGTAATATAATGCAAAGCCAATCTGGTCCATAACGCTCGCTACTCAGACATCCTTCAACATAACTGATCACAGCAAAAATCAACAGCGTGAAAGCGTCAGAATACACATGCAAAACCACAGCCACAAGAAAAAGAGCTCACAACAAGAAATGAATTCAGAACTGCAAACCTGTGCACACATAACAGCAGCATAAGAGCAAACACAGCAGCAACACAAGAGCAGTAAAAGCAACCAGCAGTGGAAGCATAGCCATATTGACTAGCACATAAACATTGACTGACCCGAGCCAAGACTGCGTCCAGAGTCCATACTACATATTAACTGTATACATTCTGCTCTATATAGTAATATTTATAGAATACTTTTTGAAGTTGAAGTCATCCTTCATCGTTTTTAGGAAATGAAATGATTAAATATGAGTGCCATCAACTTTGAAATGCCACTGCCAATTTCACTTTAAAGTTTTCCAAAGATTTAATAATATATTTTTTGCTGAGACCTTCCTGGACCTTGTATCTGCAAATGGCACCTCACTTTCCTCTGTGTTTGGCATTGTGGGACATTAGTAATAATCAAGGGTCTTTTAGTCCACTTAAACACTTATTTTTGTCACTTTTTCAGCGTGAACACCAAACTCAAAACCTCCAGTGTGCAGTATGGACTTAGGACGCAGCTATCGATTCTCAATTAGCATGTTAGCACAAGCAGCAGACACTTACCTTGCTGAAGTGAATCAGTGACTGACAGGGTGTCAGCTGAGAGTCACTTCTGGAAAGATCCACCTTGGCTCCAAGCTGCATGGACAGGGAATAATATGGACAGCAATTAGTAAGCCAGTTATGTAGAACATTTTATTAATATTATTAATTAAGTGAGCTCAACTGGCTGTGCTCGCATTGTTAAAGCCAACTTTTAATATTACCATTAGCTGCAGGACTGGCTTCAGTGAGCTAAACAAAACAGCAACAACAACAACCTGAAGCGCAATGCAAAACCAATCAGGCCCATAACAATTATTACTCCAAACATCAGTATTCATTTTTCATCACTGCCCAAAATAAACAGCATCAAAGTGCATGTACCAAACAAAATGCTAAAGAAGCTCAGCCACAACAAGGCATGCAATGAATCACAATTCCTACCACTGCAAACGCTGCACATCGAGATAAAACAGCTGCTATGGAGCAAATATTAGCAGCAAACACTCATAAACATACAACACAAGCAGCAGGACAGCCAGCAGTATAGGCAGCCATATTCCCACGCACATAAACACAAGCTGAACAGAGCCAACACATATAAACTCTCAGTATGACTGTCAGCACAAGCAGCAGACACTTGCCCTGCTGAAGTAAAACAGTCCCTGTTGACGCCGTTCCAAACTGCGTGGACAGGAAACTCAAGTCCAGCTCGATGTAGTTGGTAACCACCAGCTGATAAGAGGAGCAGCGAGTGCGTCCCACAACCTCCAAAAAGCTGAAAAAAAGCAACATAATGGGACTGTTAATTGGCAAACTTCTCTATCAAACAAGCTACGGGGTTCTTGTGATATAATTACAAAATTGTTGGGGTAAAGAGTCATGTGTGAGTGTAGCAGCCATTCCTGTATAGGGATGTCTGCACTAAATCACTGGGCGTCCTCCACTTTAGTTTTAATTAAAGGAATATATAAAAAGCACACAGAAAACTAAATTCATCATAATAAATTATATCTCAGCAGCTACATTTTCCTAGAATTTTCCCATAAACGTATAACTAAGTATATTAGGGAGGTACATATAAAGGCATCTTTATACAGTAATTCAACTAATCTATATTTCAGAAGTAAATATAACCCTTTCTACTCCACTACATTTGTCTGGCAGCTTAAGTTACTGTCATATTATCCAAAACCATCATATATATTAGTAAAACCTTTAAAATCTTAACAACTAAAGTTTATTAATATACTTGCATACTTTTACTTAATTAAGATTTTGAATGAGGGTATTTAACTTGTACTGGAGTATTTAATGATTCTGCCACTACTGTACATCATCAGTCCTGTGTTACAGTACTTTTTGGCTCCAATCAGCAATATATTCTTTCTAATAATAACAGAATGATATTAGGTCTTCTACAGGTGGTAACCAGCTCCAGAAAATACTGAAACAAATACTGACATATTTCAAATGACTGCTGGTAATCAAACTAAAGCACAGACACGTTTCCTGAAGCTAAAGTGATAAATGCTCACACTCCAGCCGGTAAAGTTGACGGTACCGCCGACGGTATATTACAACAGCTTACAAACGGCCAACAAACTCACAGAAATCTTTGCTGTGAATTTTGAAACCTCTTTTTATAATTTAAATGAAAGAAAATACACTTTTACCGATAAATAACTAACTTTAACGGACGTTATTAATGGATGAACTCACCATGGCAACCGGATGGCGACAGGTGTTGAAGTGGTTACGACTTTCGGGGTTCACCCCTCAAACCTGCAGGGGCTCGTAAAGGCCGCTCGTGCCAGTGAGAAAATAATAAATACATTATAAACAAAGTTAATTATGATAATATAATGATCAGGGTTGGGAGGGTTACCTTTAAAAAATTAAGTTACTAATTACATGTTTACCTCAACACCAAATATAATTATTAAAACAAGAGAAAAGAAAGATTTATAAGAAAACAGAACATGGACATAGGAAAATGGAAAGATTTTTAATTGCAATGCATTACAGTTACCTTTTTTTGTATCCTATTACATAACTCAGTCACATGCAACCCTGATAATAATATCAGTAAACTAATTTAACAGTGATAATGGCAAGTCAAATCATCAAATCTGCTCCACAAGACAAAATAATAAAGATATTTAACAATATAGCACACATAATGAATGAGTAATTCTAAAGTTTCTATTCTTTCTTTGTGCTATTCTCAGAGTCACAGCCCATCACTCAAAATATCTTATATTTCCCCTTAAATAGCTTTACTTAGAAAAAGTTATTTCACACTATCTCATATACAGAGACATATGTATAGGGTGGCAAGAGGGTGGCATGGAGACTTTTAGGGATAGAAGAAATATGCTGATGTAATCACAACCAATGACATATATGAATATTTGCTTAGAAAAACCCCAAAATTAATTTATCTGAGCTCAAAAACATTATTATTGTGGCACATTAGTGAAGCATTGAATAGAAATATCTAAAGACTCCATTAGAAATCAATAAATTGTTTCATTTCCAGAACTTCAGACATTTCTTTTTTATTTAACTTAAGCCAATCACTTAGACTAAAATGTGTCCATAACAGATCATTTCATTATACTATGGTTGTTTATTGATTTATTTATTTGTTTTGTGTATGTGTGTTACGCACACTGTGCCCAACCCTTGAGGGTTTACAAGACCCCAGAAGTACCTGTTGCAGTGATCAAACTCTTAGAAAATTGAAGATTATTTTAGAAAATGACAGA